TGCCTGCCAACTGCTTTGAGCAGGGCGATGTTTTCGCAGCCAGTGACCCCAGTAACTTGGGGAAGAATGTAGCTGCCTGAAGAAATAAGGCAGTAGAGGGACTGGCCATGAAGCAGTTTCCCGGACAGCAATCAGCCAATGGCCACTCAGAGGAGCTGCCCCTCTGAGAGAGGCCCACTGTCTCAACCTTCTTGATTTGTGGCTCATTGCTGGCACCAGGGTCTTTATTCCCTGCTTTGACCTCTGTTCTCTCCATACAGATATGGGAAATAGAACCTGATCTCCACAGACTATTTTGAAATCTAGTTCCTACCAACCTGCTCTTGTCCAGATTAAAATAAGAGCAGTGCTGAAAACACACAACACACAGTGTGAAACAGCTAATATATAATGGAAGATTAAAACAAAGCAGAACAACAACAAAAAAGTCTTCACATATATCTGAAATGTCTCTCCAGATTTTGGTAAACAAAAACACCTCAAAACCAAACTCACTGCCATCGAGTTGATACTGACTCATCGGGATCCTACAGGACGCACAGAACTGCCCCATGAGTTTCTGAGACTGTAACTTTTTGTGGGAGTTGAAAGCCCTATCTTTCTCTCTTGGGACAACTGATGGTATCCAACTGCTAACTTTGTGGATTGCAGCCACACAAATAACCACTATGCTTCCAGAGTTCTCTTAAATGAAATAGAATGAAAGTAACTCATTTATATAACAAAACAATTCATTTGTAAGTAGTTGAGCAGTTCCTATAAGTGCAAGGATCCAATTAGAGCAACCCTGAAAAGGGCACTCACATTCTTGGTAATAACTGAATGATTGTGATGAATCGATAGTCATATTTTTAAGTCAGAAAGCAAATAAATGACAGACACAACAATATGCCAGAGGAAAAAGGTTCCAAAAGGCACACATATCAAACCAAAAAACGGAATCAAGTGTGTGTGACTTAACAACAGGAAATTTCCTTTCAAATAAAAAGGTACCACGATCACTGGTCTGGCAGAGACCTAAAAATCTACAGCCAAATACTACTGACATAGCACATCTCTGAGTATGGTTTCTTTCACAGAGCTGATTCCAAATCATAGTGACCTTATAGTTCTACAGAACAGAAATACCTGTGGGTTTCTCGGACTGTAACTCTTTATGGGAGTAGAGTGTCACCTTTCTCTCAAGAAGCACCTGGTGGGTTAGAATTGCTGACCTGTGGTTAGCAGCCCAACATGTAACTATGATGCTACTAGGGCTCCTAGAGCTCCCAAACCAAACTCACTATTACCAAGTGGATTCCCACTCATAGCGACCCTACAGGACAGAGTAGAACTGTTCCTGAGGGTTCTCAAGACTGTGGGTAACTCTTTACAGGAGTAGAAAGCTTCATTTTTCTTTTGAGGAGTGGCTGGTGGTTTTGAAATACTGACCAACTCACTGTCATAGCAACTCCATAGGATGGGGTAGAACTATCCTGGTGAGTTTCTGAGATTATAACTCTTT